ATATATATATATATATATATATATATATATATATATATATATATATATATATATATATGTTCTATGTATATGTGTTCTATGTTTAAATATTCGTATTTGAAGACCAAACGAGTAAAAATGTGTTTAGAATTAAATACGTGTCAGGACATTGATACTTTTATCTCAACGACTAACAATAGCAGTGACAGAACAGTGTGCATCCACTCTAAAATTAAGATGTGTCAAAGTATGTGATATAAAGCATGCGTTGTGCACGACATGTGTGACATACGAAAACAAATGACGCGAAACGAAAGAATAACCATAAGATGTAATATATCGCGGGAAATATTTCATGCATAGTTTATTTTCTTTCTGTAGATTTTTTTTCGTGGAATTTCAAGCGTGGAACTGCAGCTTGTTTGACACGTTTTCATCGCAAACCCCCGCTCGTTCTATATCTCTTTCTTATCTCATCAACTCTCGTTACAGCGTAGCCGAATGTCGCGGCGGCGGACCGTAGTGGCGCATGGCTAGATAAAAGTTTCGCCCAGCAGGAACCCGGGCGGCATGGGTCTGCCGCGTTTCTCCCTGAAGAGATACTTTTTCTACGTGCTATGTCTGACGGGCACGCTGCTGGTTCTTCTGAACCTACTGCAGGACGAGATATGGCACAGCATGCGACCACATCCCAGCCAGCCGCAGTCCGCGCGAACTGTCGGCGATGGGCCGAAGGTACGTGCGCTTTTAAGTTGTTAATAGACTTAACATTCGTCACTTGTTAATGCGTCAAGCCCGGCTAATAATAACGAGCGGCTGTTATCTGACCGCGGGCGTTTCCGCGAATGACGCGCACGAAGCACTCCGCTAAGTAGCTCACCTATACTTCTCCCGAAAGTGCCGAAAGTCGCAATTATAATGACAATCGAGTCGAAGTTTTGTCTTTACATTAATCCTGCGAATTCTCCCACGATACTTGAAGGATCAATGGAGAATCTCGAGATATAATATATTGTACACGCTGTCCTATCATGATGCCACACGTGGCGTTATTGATCGCCGTTTTCTTCTCCGTGTCGAGAAACTTAGTCAAGAATTGAATTTGAAATTGAATTGCGAACGAGTACGGCTATGTAGAAGAGTCGAATAAACCCCCTGCGATCGTGATTCAAGTCATACCGACAATAGTCTCGGTATCAGATCGCAAGGGGCTAAACAGAGGAGCGCAGGAGACTTATGACCTCACTTTCAAGTCGATTCTACTAACCCCGAACCGAATCTTCCCGTCCGACATCCGCGACTGCCGGAATTGCAGCTGCCTTGGCGATGGGGCCGTAAAATTAATCAGATCTGAAACTAAAATATAATTTTCTAGTTGGTAATTAGCGACAAGGGGAGAGGGGGAGATTCCGACAAATCGAGAATACGGAAGTATTTGGTACGGGTTGTCAAGAATATGAGGGACAGCTATTTCTATCTTAAATGTATATGGAGAGATTAGAATTTTTTTAATAAAAATTCTTTTCAATTTTATTGTTTTTAGTAATGCAGAAATAAAATAGTAAAGTCTATCTGAAGTCAAGAAACATAGCACGTTTTTTAATAGAATATTTCAGTTTTGTCAAGATATAAATATATGGAAAAAAATTTGAATTAATCAAATAAAATATGAATGAAAAATATTTGAAAAGTAAAAAAATGTTTATTCAACGGGCACTAATAATATATTCAATTAAATAATTTAAATAGTTTAAATTTAAATTTCTTAATTTAAACAGATTAAACAATTGCTTTCATGAAAAGCGATAGTAATGGTGTTCAAGAAAAATATATATTCTCACATTTGAAAGACATTTCTTCTTAATGCATATTAGTGCAAATAAAAATATGTATATTAGTGTAAGTAAATATGTTTTTTGTTCGTGCCTATCGAATAAATATTTTTTATTTTTTAAATATTTTATCTCTTACAGTGAAAGCGTATCTTACAAGTTTCGAAATATTTTTTAACATGAAGAGTTCTAATAAGTTATAGTGTTCCTCCTCGAGATTCCCCATCGTAAACCTTCAAGTTAGACGGATCTTGTAAAGTTTCTCACGTAGGATCCAAATTTTAACTTCGACATTACTTTGGAGAGAAAACGCGTCAATCACGAAACATTATCTCGCGATATGCATAATAACGTAAACTTTTTGTCGGACTAATATCAAATCGTTCGATATCATAAAGTTTGAATAGAAAATCCGAAATTTATTAGTTTATCGTGAATATCAACGATATTAAACGTGTGAATAGGTTTTCCTTGAGATTGACATAATAGAGAGAAAGAGAGAGAGGGAGAGAGAACGAGAGAGAGAAAGAGAGGGAGAGAAAGAGAGACGGAAGCGCGCGTGAGCGATGCAAACGACTGAAACAAATGACAGTTAAGGGAATAAAAAACAATTTCGCTCGCAGATGAAACCCGATTGGCCTTTGAAATCGAAGAAGCCGACCATGCGAGTATTACGCACTCGGGAACGAGTGAAGAACAGACTTCCGTCCGAGGTACAGTCACTAAACCGTAGCATCGATTACTAAACTACGAAAAAAGAAAGAAAAGAACGACATGTGCACGGAAAAGTATTCCAGGGGATTAGAAAAAGAGCATATTTACACAATATATATTCTCGGGGGCGTGTCCCGAGTCCGAGAGGTCCTGTCTGGTATTGTTATTACTTTTCCCGTGTGTCGTCTCTCTTGTTCTTCTCGCGCCTACCATGCAAAACGAATGTTTCGCCCGCGAGTTTCGCGACCTCCTCTACTTGGGCTGGCTCATCGTAGCGCTAACATCATGTAATCCATGATCAAGCGTGTACAGTGTATAGCGAGCAATGCTGTAATGTTCCGAATAAAATGTGAATAATAGTGTTCAGCAACTTCGGCCATAATCGGGACTAAATGAAGTGGAAACGTTGCTCCAACATTCGGCAAGTTTAAATGAGTTTTAGATGCAGTCGTCAGACACACTTCCCAGAATCCGAGCGGGCTTATTCGGAACACTATAATAGCTTGTTTTCAACGTTTATCCCCCGCGCTAAGTACCCGACGCTTATTCGGCAGAAAAAGTTACACGGATGACGCATATCTCACCGAATCTAGACGATAGCGAGCTCTCTTGCCACGCGATACGAATGGCTTTAATAGCTTAGTTGCCTTGCAACGAGATATCGTCTTATCTTTCAATCGCTTCGATCGGGGGATGAGAAGGCCTTGCGCATCGGGACTTGATACTCTTGCGCTGTTACGTGTTTGTTCCGTCGAGCGAAAACACATGTCGAAGCAACGGCGCTTTTGTGTCCACGCACGTATATAATATACCACGCTTGGGAACGGTTACCGCTTAATTAGTCGCATGCATTCTTACGAGTTCTACCGGCAGCAAGATGTAGTGCGGGAGATAGACGATACAGAGGCAAACTTTCTTTTTTTCGAATGGCTAATAAGCGTGTACGATAGAGTAGACGACGTAGGAAAGAATTGTCGTGTCTAATCGCCCCGAGTTGAATCCCACTTATCAGATTAGTTTCAGGCGAGTTTCAGATAAACGCGTGCGACTACTTAAGCGCTGAGAATAGCGCGGAAATATAGGTCAAGCGGCAATGTGTTGACTCTGTAGCCAACATCATCATCGACGAATGCAACTTTGTTCGCGAAACACTGAACTTAGGAGTAGATGACGATAGCGTAGCGCGCGTTATCACGACATATCGTTTCATTAGCGAAGAATGACAGTGTGACATGAAGAAGCGGAAGGGGGGGGGG